TCTCATCTTCCATCCGAATCAACCAAAAAGTGAAAATTGATTTTTTGACACCTAAGCCCCCTTTCCGTAGACCAGGTCACATATGTAAAATTAGGTAAACTTCAAAAAAAATTTAAACATTAAATAAACAAAAGAAATATAGACTAAACTGGTTGAAATAAGGCGTTACTTTTATTTCTGCCACTAGTGTTATGAACTTCTTTCAGCCGCACAATTAATAGTATGTTGATTTAAGTTTTTTTTTCATCGAACTTTTTTCGACATGCCTTAAGTTACTTTATCATATATGTACACGCTAAAGTATTGCTAAATGCGTATAAATTTAATTACTGTCTTTGGTTTTGTTACTAACGAAATATTTTTGAACTTAAATAGTAGAACCCATTTGTTTACGAGTATTATTTATTATATATTAGGTCAGCTTCTCAAACTATATTGATGCAATTTTTTCATGTTAAGTTGTTGGAAAATAATGAATATCTAATTCCCGGCACTAATCCCTATGTAGTTGCAAAATACCGTCGCGCGCTAAATTTCACAGCCGTGCAATTAAATTTTTTGGCAATTTCGATTGCAATGAGCGATTAGTTCAACTGCAGAGTTAGTTTACCTGTTCAGGGAGCAGATGAAGGGAGCATTGCCGCTCAAATAGCTAATAAACATTTGTTTACTATGATGCTAGCAAAGCCGCTTAAATACACATGTAAATGTTTAGATGTGAATGCACAATTGCATGTACTATGTGCATACTTATAAGCAAATTTGCATTATTGCCTTCAAGCAGGGTACCATTTGCGGTCACTCATTCTGAATGCTACGGGATTGGCAGGCGTTTCACTAATTAATTTCGTTGCAGTATGCCACATTTACGATTGCCGAAAAGCGTACAAAAGTACGGGTGTATAAATGCTCCATGTATTGGCTGCCAGTGAAATTTTGGCATGGGCACCACCGCCTCTCGCATTCAACGAACTTATATGATGTTCATATGTATGTATGTGCATTCATAGACACATATGTACGAATGCATGAACCTACGTTTCGCTGTTCAAGTTCGCTAATGTCTTTTCTCTGCCCGTCACTGCAAATTGCACCCGTCAGCCGTATCGTGGCAATTAAAAGTTGTTGCCTGTAAAAGTTTTTGCTACAGTTAAATGAAAAATCAAAGGATTTTCGACGAGCTGTTTCTGGTATTGATTTGACAGCTCGAAATTTTTCCACTTGTTATTGTCAGTTTGGCAACTACAAATTTAGAAAACTTACAAAGTTTTAAAAGCAATTTTTAAGTGCCATCGAATTTTGCGCTGAATCGAGCCGTCAAATTTTCCCGGAAACCTATGAAACAAAAACAGAAGCTAGCGAATTTAAATACAATTTGTTTACCATCTCATAAGGCGGCCGCTGTGGTGTAGTGGTTAGCAGTAAGCGCTACCATTCCATGATCTGTATCAGCGGGATAATCCGAATAATACCAAATGCAATCTATGCTCTTCGTTCAGCGGTCGTACATTTCAATGGGGCCTGTGACTGCGGGGACACTCTTTTATTTTTTTAACAGATTTGGTTTTCTTCCGGGCAATATCGGTGTTTCAAGCTTTGATTCCGATAGCGAGATCGAAACCGATATAGTGCAAGTGTGGCGTGTGGCCCATGACTAACCTAAAAATTTTGCTGGACCTGCTCCGGAGGAGATGGCTAAACAGAACAGTCTTAACTTCATTTGAGTTCCCGGCCATAGCGCAATAGAGGGTAACTTGCAAGGGGGCACGGTCAATTAGTTATTCCAAAATAAGGGCGTTCTGATATGCCTACGATGGCAGGATTCTGCCTGCGCTGGGAATGCCTGCTCTAGGCGATAAAAGTTTGATGGAAGGTACAATCTGTCTGACTTTTAGCCTGATTACGTCTAGGTGGGATCGAAAAAGGTTCTGATGCTTATATTCTCTGTTAAAACGGAGGATTAACATTTTTTCTGACAGGTGGACCAGGGACTGATCTATTTGAAAAAATTGTACATATGGCCCGTATTTCTTGAAATTCGATACACGTATTATAGATTTTTTTTATATATATAGAATAATAGCCGTTTTCGTTGTTCGGAGTTAACTCAAAAACTACTGCATAGATTTCAGTCAAATTTTCAGAGGTTATACCTTACATATATGGTCCTATTGAAGGCTACCAGAAAACTCGGTAGGTGGCGCGGGAGTCGAGTTATTTATAAAAGTCGTATTTATGAACCGATTTCTTTCAAATTCAAAAGGTATAATGGCATAATGGAAAATACGTTTACCAAAAACGGAGCCGCTAGGTGGCGCGGGAGGCGAATTATTTATAAAAGTTGTATTTACGAAACTATGTATTTTGTTAATACACATTCGAAACGTTTATTACTTTCATGATGATTTTTTTTCACTCGAAACATATTCAGCCTTATCATGAGTTTCATCTTCCCTGAACCGGTTCACTTTTCGCTTTTGGTTTCCATGTACTTACTATGGGGGGAATCAAAATTTTCGCGTGAATTTTTTTTCAGGCGTAACTCAGAATAAGGAAGATTACATACATAAATTGATAGCCATTTCAGTTTTTCGGACTAAACTCAAAAACCACTCAAGCCCAGTCAAATTGTCGGAGGTCCTATTATAGGCTACTAGAAAACACGCTGGTGGCGCTGGAGTAGAGTTACTTATAAAAGTCGTATTTATGATGAAAAATTCCTTTGCTAAAAATGGACCCGCTAGAGTTTAGGTATTTAGAGAATCCGTTTTTTTTTTATAAAAGATGATTGGAGTTCACAATTCGTATTCATTTCATGACAAGCAAAGATTTTGCAGAAAAGGGACCCAATGGATGACGCTGCACCCGAAATATATAGAAACCCCACAGGGTTTGTTTATTTTAGCTGAACTTATTTTTCAGATGGCTATATAAGCATGATCTTGCATCTATCTCCGTTTGACGAAGTTGCTCGAGGCGGCCGTTATTACAGCAGTAAGACTCAAAGAAACCAATTCATAAATATTTAAGACGAATTCTGAAAGTGGCGAATTGACAAGGAAAGATTCTACCACATATGTCCAAAAAGGAACACGATAGGTATATCAATGGCTTCAGTTGAACGATATTCATGATATCCCACGACTCATTTAGCCAATGTACGCGAAAACTTTCCATCCTGTGGGGCAGCGAGGATTCTTGGCCTTCCTATAATTGAGAACGCTCATCTGTGCTCTTGAGTTTCCGTATAAGGACTTACATGGTACACCGGACCAATGCTGAAGTTGCAGGCTCATAAAAGAATATTACGCACGCTTGGCAGAGATCTCAGAGGTGGAAATAAGACCATCGGTAAAACGCATTACATCGAAAGGGATTAGTATTCCATATGGAATCACAGTGCTACTATTCTTGGCATATGTGTGAGGAGGATTCCGTTTTTTAGTCGTTTCAATTTAAATTAAAAATGTTTACTGTACAGACTGCTTTTGTTTTTAAACGCTATTTTTGAATTAGCCACCGCAAAAGATCTTATTAGGCGCCACGAAGCAAGCGGGCATTTGCTAGTAGGTACATAGAATAGAATTAAATGATTCTTTTACAGTTGGGAAGGTGTTTTAAGGCGCTGCAAAGCAATCGGTTATTGGCTATTTACGTATACTTATTATCTATATCATTTATATAAAGAGAAGTCCCGTTTTGATGTTTTAAGTTTTTTTTTTAATGTGATAAATTTTTTCGCCTAAGTTTAAAACTCGGAGCGATAAAAATGAAAATTATGCCATTAACACAAATAAACTATTTTATATATCGTCTCCTGAAATGCAAAAGGACGTAACATCATTATAGATGAAATGGAAAAAGTCGTGACTAATATTGTAATTTTTTTTCATAAAATGATGTGGGGAGTTGTAATTCGATGAAATCCAGTGAAAAAGTGAATTTTGAATTTTTTATTAGTTATGACTTTTTGCATTTCAACGATGATGTTTGTTACGTCTTTTTGGATTTCAGGTGACGATATACTCCACGTGCAAAGTTATGAGTGAGCAGTGCTCTTACGAGCTCTATTTGTTAAAACCTACAAGTGTGGTAACCACATCAATTTTTTAAATAGAACACAAGAAAAAATTCTACTTTTATTTTGGCCACTCTGAGTTTAGTTTTTGAATTCACCCTCGATGCAAATTTACAATACATACAATACAATAATACATTGTTAGATCTAATTTTCGCATTTAATTTTTTTACGTGCTTTGGGAATATTTAAAAATGTATCGGCAGGGGATCCACCGAAACCAGTAAATTTTTGAAAGGGGTCTACGATAAAAAAAGTTGGGGAACCCCTGGCTTAGATGCATTTTGTAGCGAACATATTTTTTTTCGTTACCCTACATATGTATTAGAGGGGGGAAAAAAATCAAGTATTTTTTTTTTGGATCCGACACACGAAAACTAGTTCCTAGGTACCTCTAGAAAGTACTTACCAAATCTGAGCTCCTAATATTAACGGGAAGATTATGCTCATCATAGTTTTCCATATTCATTTTAGTCTCATATAAAAATGGTCATATCTTATCACCAATAGATCATTAAACCAGTTGCATCGTCAATATTTATACGAAATTGAACGCTCTACAAAAATGGTCTCCTATACTCTTTTCATTAATCTAACATTTAAAAAATATTTACTACTGCGAATATCTTCTAAATGGTTAGAGTAATCGATCACAGACCTTTTTTGTAGAGCGTTTAATTCCCTATAGAAATAATTGAAACTCAATTGACAATAATTATTTTTTAGTAAGTTAAAAAATTCAAAACAAAAAGTTATTTTCCTTAAAATACTTCAATATTTGACTTTGAATATCTTTCAGCGATGCAAAGGTCTGGCAAGAATAAAGAAGTATCGCATTCATATTACTTATTCACTCCTCTATCTATCATAATAACGAAACATCCATCTAAACGTTAAAATTGTCTCTCTTTCTTCTTACAGACTTTAGCCACATGAAGGCATTGCGCATCCTGAACTCTGAATTAGCAGACACGCTGGGAAATCTCTTATCGCGAGCTTGTGCAAAATCGCTTAATCCGCAACAAGTTTACCCACGCCTGCATGCGGTGCAAGTCGACGATTTGCTGCGGATGGATGCAACCAAGCGGCTACAGGATGCATTGCAACAAATTGAAGGTAGCTTTACAAGAGTATTACTGCACAAATATTCACACCGTCTTTGAGCGTAGACCCGTTAATACTTAGAGATTTTAAGTTATTTGCTTTACTTGCGCTTGCTTCCTCGGCTCTTTTAGATTCTGAGCAACGAGGAGAGGAGCATTGTAATTGTGAACGTATTTGTCGGTTGCTTTAACGTCGCGACGTTCCTCAGCCACAACGTAAAAAATTGCATTTTTGCGCCTTAAGCGTTCTAATGCCGTACATACATACATATATGTTGGCAAGTGAGTGTAGCGTGGCGCTATAAAATAAATATATTTACAAACGAGCTTAAACTATAAAACAAACAGCTGCCGCGCTTGGTAGTTGCTCCTGCTCGTTTATTTTCATGAGTTCTATTTTAGCTTTCTTGGCTTGGTTTTTCATCTTTCACATCGTTTGCTAGTCACTACATATACACATCTATCTTTTAACGATGATTAGCAAAGTTTTGAATGCTCACAACTTTCATAAGTATGCGATAGTTTTGCTTTATTCGATATTTTCGCTAAATTAATTTGGAATTTTTAGTGAACTTTTTTCGGCGATTTTTGCCAAGTTTTCTTTACTGTAATGGAAAACCATAAACCTAAGCACTCTGATAAGCATTTTATGTACGTAAAGAAGTTGTGTATACATGATTTAAATGTTGAGAAATTTGCTTTTCATTTATAATTTCAGTTGAAGTTTCTCTAGTTCCATGAAAGGCTTCCTCCACTTTTATATATGCTTACCTTCCAGGCGCCTTTCATTGTAAAGGTTTTTCGTTGTTTTGCCCCGCTGGTAAAACTTTAGCCATAAATAGTAGCATAACGCCTTTATCAGATGTATTAGCGCATTTATTATAATGAACTTTTCCTCGAAAAAATTCCGATTTCAAAAATCTTAAGCGCTAAGTTAAAAAAACCTTTAGTCTTGATCATATTTGGGGCTTAACCCCTGTAAGTGTTTATATTTAAGCAGACCAAAGTACAGGTCAGGAAATGATTAAGAACAATCAGTTCATGTAGCATTCTTTATTTTGAAAGTCTCGGAATCACAATGCAAAAGCCTTTTCAGTTTTATCTTGTTTTACCAGAGTATTGAGCTTCTTTGTTTGTCTTTGACAAAAATATCTTTCTTTTAACAATTTGATTTAATTAAGCTTTTTTGTTTATTTAGAAATTTGTACTTCGTTACACTATATAACAAAATTAATCTTTCTTTTTTGTCTGTTCTTTTGTAAGGCGACCAGCAGTGAAATCTTTCTTTTTGCCATACCCACTAACATCATTTTTTATCACCCATTCTGAATAAGTGAGAAATTACCATTAAACACTTTATCAGTTTTGATTTATTTCTGGCGTTTATGTTGAATTTTAGGCATTGGTGTATTCTGACTAGAATTTAGGTATTTATGTTGTGGTGAATGTTAAAGTACGGGTTACTTAAGTATTTTGGAAATTACCAAGTACCGATAACGCAAGTAGTATGAAGTACACTGTATGAAAAGTTCCCTACTATAATTTTTTTTTATTGGTACCAATTTGATCTAAATTTACTGGGCTATGAACTTTAAAGTAAGCATAAATTCCAGTTAATCGAATAATAAAGTTATTTGCTTTATGCAGTGTTGCCAGGCCATTGAAGTGAGAAATCGTCATTTTGGCTTTAAAAAATCGCCATTTGCATGTAAAAATCGTCGGCATTTACAAAGTTTTAATGAATATAGCCAGAGAGTTCTTTTGTTTTTTGTTTTGTTCTAGCTTCTGATTGCTATAGGTAAAAAATAAAAAGTTGAACTTTTTTACAAATTTTTAAAATCCGCATTACTTTTAACAAAAATTTGTTTAATTGCAATAAAATCACGGTTTCACCTTAATTTTTTTTTTTTTTTCAAACTGCAACTTAACAATGTGCATTAAAAACTGTTCATACTTACAAGTTTTGATAAATTACTTATTCATATTCGCTCAATAAAATATGTACCAGTACACAACGTCACAACGCAAAAATTACGAATTTGACCGCCAAAAACTACAAAAAAAGAAAAGTACTTATCGATAACTACTATTAGTGATATAATTTCGATACCACAATTATGTATTAGCAGAAGTGGAAAACTCTCAATAAGTGTTTGCACTGCAATTTTTAGTTGTCTGCATACCTATATTCAAAGTTGAGAACCTGCCAAATTTGCACATAAAGAAAAACCGTCATTGGGTTACAAAAATCGTCACATCGTCATGGCAGTAAAAAACCTTCAAAATGACGACCAAATCGTCAACCTGGCAACACTTCTTTTCCTATTCTTCTCCTATTTGATTTTGTTACACAAAGGCGATTTTACTTCTATGAAAAGTGGTTTTTCATGGCAGAAATACACTCCAAGGTTTGCCATTACCTGCCAAGGGCCGACCGCTATTAGAAAAACCTTTTACTTTTTTTCTGTGTTTGATATTAGTCAGAACCTGGGCTCGACCCCATGCCCTGCGGAAGGATGCTGCGCATTTGTATGGTTGTTGTTGTATAACCAGCATTACAATTAGTGCATTACATTAGTATTAAACATTAAATAATCTAAAGAAATATGTGTAGCCAAAACTGGTCCGAATAAGGCGAGTCCATTATTTCTTCCACCAGTATAAGGAAAAAAACGGTGCTCCATCTCTAGCAATTAGTGGAAACAGAAAATTTAGTACACTATACCTCTTTCTCTGCAAACGGCAATGAAGCCATTAATTCATGGAAAATAGATATTTGCCTCATTTCATTCGTCATAGTCTCAATAAAAATTTGCACTTTTACACCATTAGCACATAACTTCACACGCCCTTTAGTGAGTTCATGATAGCTCCATTTTTTAAATTTTTTCAGTCCTTATTTTTTATTCATAAACTATCAACTTTATGTTTATTATTTATTTTCAGCACGTTGCGCCCAACATTACGCAGATAACAATTTCTATCTTGTGGTAGACACAGTAATATCCACTTTGCATGCGGCCAATAACTTCTTTGAAACGTCACGTCCGTGGGAGTTGAAGCGCCCAGCGGCTGTTGTAACCACCGGCAATGATGCTGTGGATGCTGCTAATTCGCAGAATATTGAAAATTTCGAACGCTTGGAAACGATAATCGCCATGACAATGGACACGTTGCGCATCTGCGGAATTGTGTTGCAACCGATTGTGCCGCAGCTGTGTGGCAAGTTGCTAGATAAATTGGCGGTGCCGCAAGAGCAACGGTTATGGCGTAATTTAGACGATTGCTTTGCTACGAAGTCGTCTTATGAAAATGTAGCAAGGCCACTTGATGTGCACACAGATGCAGTGCTATTTCGGCGCATTCTGCTTAAGGAGGAGGATTTGGAGGCGGGTCAGCCGATTAAGTCACCGCCAGTGTCGCAAACAAAGGAGAAGATGAAACAAAAACGAAAGGAGAAGACGGCAAGGAGCAAGATAGCGGCACGGTAACTCGGAGTAGTAGTGCAAACTTCGGAGATGGGAGATCGGCTGCCAGTTGCTTACAATTATTACCGCAATGACAATAAAAAAAAAAAAAATCTCTACAATCGAGCAGGTATCTGATTCTACGGTGTAACTTCGTGGCCGCGAGTGCCAGTATGCTAGCATTGGTATTCAGTGTGTGCTGCAATGAAGTCATTTAAATTTGTTACAATTTCTTTAGCTTCCTGTCGGCATCCGCTACGTGCCGCCATCCGCGCGCAGAGCCTCTTCATATAATGCAACCTCGCGTACATCCTTATGTCGCCATTTCTCTTCGCATTTCTTCTGTTATCCTTCGTCTTCGTCTTCTGGTGTTCAGCACGTAGCGACAGTAAATTGTTTTAATAGTTCAGCGACCAGACTGCAAGCGATTACTACAGGTCATCTCCTTGCTCTTCGCTTGTTTCTTGATATATGCACATGCATACATACATAGATCGCCAAATAATATATGTATACTTTTGCATTGTTTACTCAAGTGATTTTTGTTATCATTAATTTCGTTTATTCGTTTTTAAGTTTCTTCTTTTATAAGATGAGACTGTCATTCAATATAGTGAAAGTGCTGATATCATAAAGTTGTACTATTAAATGATTTTAAGAATTCATTGCTATTAAAAATTCAAATACTACATTGATGTTTTTTAATTAATTTGACCTTTTCGTGTTTTTTAATGAACTGGAAACTGCAAAGTCAACGTTTAGTTCATTACTAGTATGGATAATATTATTAAAAAAGTTATTTGGTGGAGTAAGTTAAGTGATTTGCTGTGAAGTAGGTATTTCACCTCAATTGTACTTTTATAAGTATGAGTTGTCGATTTAAACGAATATCGTTTGTGCTTTGTTTGTTTTGTAGTAAAATGTAGTAAATGTATTATTATAGCCAATTTCACTTCTTTGCACTTCAAAAGGGACAAACAAAATCCGAATTTAATTTTTCCATATAAAAAGTAAATTCGGATTTTCAATTTCTATTCAAGTGGATAAAAGTGTATGTATATAAATAAATATAATTCAGACGCATTAATTAATAAGTTTATTTATTTTTATAAGAAGTTCTTTTCGATGCACTCAAATTAAAAAAAAAATTATAAAATCTCTTTAATTTACAAAGTAAGCAGCTGTAATCTGCTTTGAAATATTAAACACCTTTTAAATGTTTGTAAATCTCTGAGTGTTTTATGCTTTAAAAATATTTGTGAATTGTTATACATAGTCGGAAAGCATTGAAAAGGACAACCACAGCTGTAAATGGTTCATCGTCGTTATTTAAACACTCTGTCGATGGTGGTATACATTTTTTGAACGCGGCAGAGACATCATGAATTTTTATGAGTTTGTCATAAAAGAAGAGGAGGAACTCATCTTTCGGTCGAAAAATATAAATAAATCTAAGCTAGCCACAATCGCAAACGTGATGTAGTTCAGTCGTCGCCAAAATAATTATCTACATACGTAAAAAAAAAAAATTTCCAATTTGTAAAGCTGATGCCAGATAAAACTTTGTAGCTTTGCGTGACATTTATAACTTTGCCAGCAAAGCGCCAGACGCAAAAGGTATGTCACAATGAACGCCAAGAAAACAATGTTGTACCGCTTTTTTACTCATCAAAGTTGCTGTGGATTTTAATTATTTTGATTTAAAATTATCAGCAATGTAATTAAGTTTTATGTTTCTGCATGAAAACCCGAATTTGGACGGAACAAAATAAATATTAAACCGGCTGATTGCCAAAGCGCGCAAAAAGATGGGAGTTGACCATCTTTTCGCTTCGCGCTGCCGCTTCAACGATTTATGTGGCATGCTTTGTGCATTTTCATACAATTCATCTTATCTGTCAAAGCGAATCTGTCACGTAAAGCGAAGCAAAAGTTTTATGTGACATCAGCTTTAGAATATTATGCTCATAAAAATTTGGTAATTTTTTTCTGAGTTTGGTAATTTTTTTAGAGATTCGGTAAAAAATTAAAAATCTTTGTGGCGACATTGAATTTTAATAAGTATGCCTTCTTTTAAATGATGCGATGGAGGGAGAATTTGTGGATTTGAGGAAGTGGAATAAACCTATCTTATTTTCAGCAAAAATTTTCTATAAATGCCACTATCTAGTTCCTATGTATAATTGCTCGGTGATTTTGAAAATGGAGACATTTTTTTCTATGGATAACTTTTCGAGATATTTGCAAATTACCGTTATTCAGCGTAAATAAATAGTGGTTTGATTAATGTGGAATGATTAACTAATTTTTTAGAAACTATCAGGGCTACCGAAAAGTGATGTATATTCGATTTATGGAGAATTTTACTATATACCTGATTAAGTGGAACCATTCTTAATTTTAAGCTGAATAAC